TGAAAGGGAATAAACTCAAACACAAAGAGTTCTAGTACAGAAATATTTGGGGTTTCCATACGCCTTTCGCCACCAGCAGAAGCCTGTTGAGCGTTAGCTGCAATCCTACCCTTTGCATTTCTTTTAGAAACATAGCATTTCCTAGCAGCTACATGCATTAACTTATATTTAATAAATAAATACAGCTGCATCAGAGATAACTTTTTCCCTTTAAGTACAGAGGATTAGGGAAATTGTATTTTTAAATCCTCTGTCAATGAGCACCACAGGGAAAATCTGTTCAGTTCATTTAATTTAAACATCAGGATCGAAGCAGTTTATTGCTTTATTAATGGCACATAATTAACTGACAATTAATGAACTATATATTTAAATCCATATCAGCATAGATAAACAACAATACTAGATACTTGCAAAACGTTAATAAATACCCACAAGTTTCTAAGCATCCTTTTATAATTAATCCCAAGAAGTTTTAATCCCAGCCATCTATGCACCCACTCCCCATCCACCACCAGCAATGTGGGTGACAACTGCACCCCCTTTCTGGGATTGTGGGTCTCCCTGTTTACACACCTGCCCTGCTGGAGACGGGGTTGCTCCCACTTTTTCGTGCAATCTGCTGGTGAGAGCGCCAGCGAGGGCGCAGCCCGCGAGTCCGCATAGTGAGGTGTGGGTCCTCGCGAGCTGCGCCGTTATCCAACCGTTCTGCAGAAGCTGGAATGGGCGAGCACCTCTGCAAATCAGAAGTTGGTAAATGAACTTTTACTTGTTAGGTTATTTAAGTACTATTTTTTCACTGTTGTCTTTTCATTAATTACCTTAACTTTTCTAATGCATGAAATGCTAACTTTTATTATCGTATTGATAACATATAAAGCGAAACCCATAAGATGACATGAGCTTCTAGAATTGACCTGAAACCAACTAGAAGACGCAGAGGGCAAACAGGATTGTATACCTTAGAGTTTTGTATCTTTTGAAACAAGAACAAGAATATTTTGGGGCCTTTAAGAATGTGTTTATGAACTTTTGTTTTGTATTTTCATTAGCCACCTCGGCATAAAAAGCAGAAATATGCTGATGGTAGAACTAGCAATGTGTGATCAATGTGAGCTGGATCGGAAG